TAATAATAATAATAATAATAATATTATATGCTACTATGCCTGCCTTCAGCCTTTCCCTTCCCCTCCCCACAACAGACACCCTGGGAGGTGTCTTACAGAGTCTGCCTCATCTCAGTGAACTACAGTTCCCAGAAATCTTTGAGGAAAAATCACAAGAATGAAACTGGTGTGAACAAAATATAAATCCATAGCATATGTGTGCTCAAAGGCTCTTCTTTGTCCCTGAAAGAATTGTGGGCTATCAGATTCACTTAATCAGTCTCCCACATGCCTGATGACCGAGTTTTAAATATCACTGGGAACTCCAGACAAGCTCCCGATACACATACGGTTTACTCTACAGTGAGGAAAAACAGACATCAGAAAAGGAACCATTAAACTGAAGTCACTTCGTGCACACATGACAACACATTGCTTAACCGACTGCTTTCAGCCGAAGATGCTAATGGAATGACATCCTTTAGGGACGGACTGTTGCCTTTGGAGTTCCCAAACACAGACCTGTGAAAATGTTGCTGCCATTGCACTTCTCAGTGGTATTCCCAATGAAACTGGGAATGAATGAACCAACAGACTGAGGGAGCAAAGCAAATGGAAGTTAATGGGAAGGTCAATGGATCACATCAAATCTGGCATCTGGAATCTAGAAGGAAGCCAATCTAGAACTTACCCCTGAGCCCAAGAAGCTGACCTCTGTGGAGTACTACGGCTGGGAAGAGGAGAAAGGTAGGGATATAGAGAGGAAAAACGGGAATACAGCAGAGGTTGGGGGAGAGAATAAAACAGCAATTACTGGGAGGAACAGGAAAAGAGCGTCTTAAAATTTTGCATGTGTGCAGATGTCACGAATCCTTGCAACACTTTGTTTCTAGCAAGAGACATGGCAATCCTATGGGAAAGCACTTTAGATTTTATTGTTGGTTTTACATTGTTTTAAAAAAATTTATGTAAGCCGCCCTAAGCCTGCTTTGGTAGGGAGGGCAGGGTCTAAATCTAATAAATAAACAAACTAAATAAGTACTAGGCAGGCAACGGGTGGGTAGGCGGGGAGCAGCTGTCACTCTGGTTTGGCAAGTCAGATGCTACTGGATGCTCCAGCTGGAACTCTGGCTCTTCAGCCCATACATTTGCTGTTCCGTCCAATGTATGTAATTTAGTTATTTAGGTATTTTTATGGCTTACCACATCGTTCTCCCCTTCTCGATTCACTCCTCACAGCAAACAAGTCTGCAAGGTGGGCTAGGCTGAGAAAGAGCCATTGGCTTCCATGGCAGAGTTTCCATGGCCGAGTGGGGATCTGAAGGTGGGTTTCGCAGAGCCGAGTCCAGTGGCCTAGCCGCTACAGGACAGGAAGACTGGAAGGCTAATCAGAGTCAACCAGTAATTATATAAAACCAGGGCTATTTTTGGGCAGGAACGCACAGGAACGGAGTTCTGGCCGGCTCCCGAGTTGGCCACGCCCAGCAGGAACTCATTAGCATAACAGGCCACACCCAACAGCAGAAACTCATTAGGATTGGCTACAGTAGGCGTGTGTGGCCTAACATGCAAAGGAGTTCCTGCTCCAAAAAAAGCCCTGGGTTTTGACAACAAACAAGGTAAACAGAATAAGAAGCAAAAGGTGGGTGTGGCTGGATGACCACACTTCTGGTAACATGGGTGTGTGGCCTAATATGCTAATGAGCTGTGCTGTCATGGGTGTGGCCTAATAGGCGAACGAGTCCCTGATGTTGGGTATGGCCTATTATGCTAATGAGTTCCTGCTGGGCTTTTTCTACAAAATAAGCCCTGTATAAAACTGTAAGGTATGTGTTTTATTTTCAGTTCTGTCCTTTCAGTATTATTAATTTTAAACTTGGAACAATCAGAGATTATAATGGGAAAAAAATCAGATGTCTCGCAACACTCTGTCCGGCATGCTATTTCTAATGAAATCATACCAATTTCATCTCCACTTACTATTCTTTCTGGGTTTTTCCTGTTGAGTATTTATGAAGCTACTTTTATGAAATCATTAGCCTATCTGTCCCTTCTCTGATGGGTAATAGTCCTCTGGAATGGGGAGATGGTGGAGGAGTGGGATCGGATTCTAAATTTTTCTCCCCTGAGCTATGATTCCTCATTTAATTTAACATCATTTGCATGTGCTTTATGGAAAAGGATGCCCATCGAGGGCCACTTACTTTCCGTCAAAGGGATGGAAATGACGACTCCGTTGCCTGTCCCCACCCACAGACGGTTGCCGGCAATGAGCAAGGCCGTGATCCTCACAAACGAGAAACCCAGCTTCCCGGTCCCTGAAGAAGAGGCGCAAAGAAAGGCGACCGGGATAGTGTGACTTGTTACAAAAGGCCTAGGAAAAACTGAGCCCAACCTCCAAAAGACCTCTTGTTCAACTCCCGGTGCCGCTTGTTTACCTAACATTTTGCTGACGTAGGGCTCTATGTCTACATCCTGGAGATGCTGATGAGTGTGAGCATGATACAGCCTCAGCGTTGAGTCCAGCCGGATGGAAACCCAAACGCCATCTCCAATCCAAGCCAGCTGCCGGACCTGGCTCTCCCGGCGAGGATGAGCATCAAAGGACTTCTGAGAAGTAAGATGAAGAGTTATGATAAACTCATTCTAAGCCTTGGGTTGTGGACACTAGGGCTGCCAAGCCGCGGCGGGGGATCCGAGCGTCTTCACAGGATCCCTGCTGCGGGGGACAGCGATATGTGTTGCACCGCCGTCGCCAGGATATGACGCTATGCGTCGTTCTGGCAACGGGGCTGTTTGGAGTCCCGTTGCCAGAGCGACGCGTAACGTCACATCCTGGCGACGGCAGTGCAATGCGTATCGCTGTCCCCCGCGGCAGGGATCCTGTGAAGATGCACGGATCCCCCGCCGCGGCTTGGCAGCCCTAGTGGACACATTTTTGACTACCTGGACATGTTTTTTGATTTCCTGAATCAGAAACATGGACTTGCATGGCATTGTCATCCTAATTTTTTCCTAATGTGTAGCTGGATGCATTTTATGCAGCAGGGGGGAAAAGACTGCGAAGTGGAATCTAAGCATTTGCTCCGTTTTGGCACAGGGAGTAGAATAATGAACATAAAAGGAAACAAACCAGGAGGAGACATGCCAACAAAATAGAAAGAGAAGTATTCTTTCTTTCTGTGCTCCCACATTCAAACACATCCCCACTGTACCTCAATTTGCATCGTCTTGGGCTGGATGACGTGAATTTTGTTCTTGTAGCCACACCACACCCTATCATACACCACAGCCATGCAGCGTATGGAGTGGTGAGTGTGGCCCAGGTCCATGAGGTGATAGTTGCTGAGATCCCACTGTAAATGAAAGCATTTGCCACAGGAAGTGGTGGCGGCTACAAGAATGGACGGCTTCAAAAGGGAATTAGATAAGCATATGGGGCAGAGGTCCATCAGTGGCTATTAGCCACAAGGTATAGATAGGGGCTCTGGGGCAAGTGATGCTCTGTCTTCTTGGTGCTTGGGGGGGGGTCAATAGTGGGAGGGCTTCTAATGTCCTGGCCCCACTGGTGGACCTCCTGATGGCACTGGTATTTCTGGCCACTGTGTGACACAGAGTGTTGGACTGGATGGGCCTTTGGCCTGATCCAACATTGGTGTCACTTATGTTCTTATGGGATTGCTTTCCTTACTTTGTTTGGATCATCTTAAATTAATGTATGAGTTGGTTTTTCTAAAGTAAAACCTCAGTATTCAGGTTAAATTGCCATGTTGGCACTTTGCGATAAATAAGTGGGGTTTGGGTCGCAGTTTGGGCACTCGGTCTCTAAAAGGTTCGCCATCACTGCTCTAAGCTGTGGGAACTTGTGAGCAAAAATTCTACTTTGGAAGCTACTGGTATTAAACTTGCGAGCTAGTGGTTTGGCTACTGTATAAATTAGTCTGCTCTGGAGCCATCCTTCCTGAGCTAAGCCACAAATGTGTGAGCCGGAGGCTAAAAAACTGTGAGCTGGCTCACAGTAGCTCAGCTTAGAGGGAACACTGCTCACAGCTCACACCCTTGGGTTCCCAAAGACATCACTGTGGATCAGGAACAGCTTAAGATACACACTCTCTACGTGTGCAGAAGCACCCTGTTGCTCATGCAACAGAAGTCTGGATCCAACCTGCTACTAACAGTTACAACAGAGTCAACTCTTAAACACTGGAAACGTCATTATCTGGCCTGTTTCTTTGCTTTGGGAAGTGGAAATGGTGGTAGAATCCAAATGAAAAAATGCACATTGCAGCATATATAACCAGACAGCTCTTGCTTTCAAGTGCTCCCTAGATTAATGAATCAGGCAGATCAGCCTCTCGTACTTCTCTAGTTACAACATAAATGAATTATTTCATACTTACACCCCAGAAATTGGAATATCCCAAGATTCAATACAAGCTTTCATCAACTGCCTGGTTTTGATTTCCCACTTTTTTTTTTTTTTGCTGGCTAACAGCATAATTTCTATCCTCACCCTCTCCTCGGTGGAATATAGCAAGCGTTCCATCAGCTAGGGCCACAAGCACACGTCCTTTCACATGCCTGCATACACAAGACAAAAGAACACATTTCAGATCAAGGGGCAGATACGGACCTTGAAATGGAACACAGTCTGGGAAAAGGCATACCCTGTAATGCAGAGACCACACCATGGAAGCACAGGAAAATGATGCCTAGTGGTAAAATCCTATATTCAGAATTTATGCTTCTGTTTGCAAATGAATAAAGTATGTTTCTATAACAAGGTTTTTAATTAATACTCTCCTTGCCATTGCTAGACTTGCTGTAGCTCAGAAATGGAAAGATGAAAAAACCCCTACCTTGATTTCTTGGAAAAACAAGATTTGGGAACATTTTTTTATTGGGGAAAATGGCCTCACAGAATGCGGCACTCACCTCGGGCAGTAGTTTACGTAAATTCCAAGCAATTTGGTTTCCAATGATCGCATACCTATCTGAGGGAGACTTTGTTCCTAATAATCGTCATTACCAGAAACTCTTATTCTTTTGAACTATCTAAAATTGTGTTTGTTTCTCGGTTACTGTATAGATTGTCACTTCTATACTGTTAGACACGAAGTACTATCCACTCATGCAGTTTGCAGTTTGTTTGTGTTAAATGTTATATTTTCAAAAAATATATAAATAAAGTCTTTAAAAAAAGAAAAGACAAAAAAAAGTATGTTTCTAGTCCTTGGAGCTATGGCAACGAGCGAGCAAAGTGTTTTGAAACGAAGAACGTGGCAATAGGCTGGGAGGGGGAGAGGATTTCCAGCAGTTGGGGCTTTAGCAGTCTGACCCTTTGACGCTTCCTGCGATCCGGTGAAGATACAAAGATTATGCAACAGTGAGCTACCTGGGTGTGAGATCTCCCAGCTTGCACAGCTGATCACATTCAGAGCAACATGTATTCTGCACGAAATCAGAAGTCTGTGCTGATATAACTAAAATTCCCTGACAGAAAGAGATCTCTCAGTTATGCAAAATAGCAAATCCGCATTTGTTTACCTTGCATTTCTTTGTTTTCCTGCCTCATTTGAACAGACACACTCCAAAGGGAACATACAAACCTGCCTTATCCTAAGTCAAACCGTTGGTCCAGCTAGGCCAGTGGTGGCGAACCTATGGCACGGGTGCCAGAGGTGGCACTCAGAGCCCTCTCTGTGGGCACGCGTGCCATCGCCCCAGCCAGGCCCAGACCATCATTAAAGTGTCGAATTCTCTGCCAAATAATTTTAAGGAAATGAAAGCGTTTGGGATTGCTTTCCTTACTTTGTTTGGATCATCTTAAGTTAACGTTTGAGTTGTTTTTTTCTAAAGTAAAACCTCAGTATTCAGGTTAAACTGCCGTGTTGGCACTTTGCGCTAAATAAGCGGGTTTTGGGTCGCAGTTTGGGCACTCGGTCTCTAAAAGGTTCGCCATCACTGGTCTAGGCGAATGCTGTCTATTCTAATTGGCAGCAGCTCTTCAAGGTCTCAGTCAGAGAAAAGGTCTTTCCTAACATCTGCTATTGGAATCCTGAACTTAAAGAAAGGTGTCGAGGATCAAACCTGGGACTTTCTCTGTGCAAAGCACCCGTTCTACCACTGAACAATGGGCTCACCCCACCCCACCTACCCTATACTTACACCAAGCTCAGCACCGAGTCCTTCAGCTTTATTGAGTGTAAACATTTCTTCCAATTAGAGACCGCCGAGTGGACATACAACCTGGGGAAGAGAAGAAGGCAGTTGGAGGATGCCAGCAAGGTCCCCGAGTCCAACATCATAATGCAGGGTTTACACGTTTAATGACATTTCAAGAGACTTTCAAAGTGCATCTTGAATTGGAGCTCCCAACAGCAAGAATAACACTTGGCATTTCCCCTTTCGGTATTCGGAATGCTTCGCTGACATGATCTCAATCATTCTTACACCCACCAGCCCTGCAAGTTAGGACCAGTGTTCCCTCTAAGCTGAGTTAGTGTGAGACAGCTCACAGTTTTTTTAGCCTCCAGCTCACACATTTCTGTCTTAGCTCAGGAAAGATGGCTCCAGAGCAGACTAATTTATGCAGCAGCCAAATCGCTCGCTCACGACTTTAATGCCGGCAGCTCACAAAGTAGAATTTTTGCTCACAAGACTCCACAGCTTAGAGGGAACATTGGTTAGGACAGTATTATCCCTGTACTGGAGAAGGGGAGGCAAGTTGAGACACTGAGGATTGCTTGAGGCTAGAGAGGGATTTTGTAACAGAGGCAAGATTTGAACCAGGGATCTCTTAATACATTCCGTTAGGTGGGTTCTTTACATCTGGCACCACCGGGGGGGTGTTTTTGTCCTAAGCCTCACAGACTGATCTTCAAGGGTGCCGCAGTGTTTGTCCCATCACGTGACCCAAGCACTTAGTCAGCTGATTCCAAAGGACCAATCACTGTCCACAAGGCCATAGAGATACCTTCAGTCTGGGCTCCTTGTTTCATTCTGAGAAGACATCATCACCCCCTACACCCTAATTAGGGCACTTCACCATCTACTTGAAGCCCAACAAATTCCAACAATCAGACGCATTACAGGCAGGCTGTCGGGTTCAGCAGCAAGTAAATCTCCACACACGTTCCCAAGGAAGCGTTATGCTTTATTAGATTACAAAACTGGTACCATACCCACAGGATTATTGTTAGGAATGACCATGGGACGGAAACACCCTTACATATAGCAGGATGGGGCAAATGGCTAAGCAAATGAAATTCGAGCGAGCGCGGGGGAATTCTCCCGGTGGGAGGATACATGATAAGCGAAGAGTCGCAGTGCCTCATGAGAGCTGAAAGATTCACATCAGTGGTGGAACGCAAGCCCTCCCTCCTTCACAAGGCCAGACAGATAACGCTGTCTGGCAGCACTGGCTCTCACGGTCTCCCTAGCATTGTTTACAGCAAGCGGCAGAATAGCGAGCAAGCCAGGACCAGAGAAGGGAACAAGCAAAACATGGCAGCTAGCTGACACAGGCCCCTCCTAGTTCCAGTTTATTATTTTAATTTATACCCCGCCCTCCCTGCAAGCAGGCTTTTCCCTAACTCTAACGCTAACCCTAACAATGCAACTTTTCCCTAACTCTGACGTGCAGGCCACCACCTTGCACTTATCTTCTAGACCCAAAGATTGCTTTCATGTACCCGTCCAGTAAGGTCTATTGCACTGTGCTGTTCTCAAACATTTCTTGGCTAGAGCTTTGCGACCCACATAAAAAGAAGAAGAAGAGATTGGATTTATACCCCACCCTTCACTTGGAGTCTCAGAGCGGCTTACAAACTCCTTTCCCCTCCCCACAACAGACACCCTGGGAGGTGGGTGGGGCTGAGAGAGCTCTGACACAAACTGCTCTTTCGGAAACAGCTGTGCCAGAGCTTGTGACTGACCCAAGGTCACATCAGCAGGTGCAAGTGGAGGAGTGGGGAATCAAACCCGGTTCTCCCAGATTAGAGTCCGCGCACTTAACCACTACACCAAACTGGCTCTCTTACTGAAGGATCCCCCCAAGCCAACCCCCATCATGGTGCAGAGAACCATACCAGCCATTCTGGGCTCCAAGCCACATG